CCAGGTCCCCTCCAACTCCTGACATGCTGTGACTCTGTGACAAGCCATGAGACTGAACTGCAAGAAGCAGCAGCAGTTCCTGAGCAAGGCGCTCATCAAAAGCCGCTTCCTCAAGTTCTAGAAGTGTCCCATTTTGCCACTCATGTACAGAAGCCGCCTGCAAAATGGACTCAAGTTTGCAGACTGCGCCTGGCCCAGCTGTGGATCAGAGCACAGCACAGCACGGGGACCGAACTTGATCTGGAAGTGCTGATTTCCAATGTGCCCCCTGCCTGGCGCCACAGTCCACCCACGAACGCCCACGCCCCGTCAGGCACAGACTGGCGCAGGGACACAGCCCGTGCTGCACTTTGACCAGGCTCCAGGAGGTGCTGCTGATACCAGCGGGACACCACGAGGCGCTACGGCCCGTCTGTGCGGTGCCTGCAGCACCGGAGGCCTCTGTGAGCACGCCCCGCTCTGGCCTCTCTCCACCCCAACACCTCACCCCCTTGTGCAGAGCTGTTTCCACTGCTGCTCAAGAGGAATGGTCTCAGTGCACTGCAAGCCCCAGAGATCTTCTGTCTGCAGACAGAAACAGACCTCAGATACCCAGAAACGTCTACGAGGTGCCCAGGCCACTTCAGCGCCCCACGCTCACCTTTCTCTCCGGTGTCTCTGCCAATTGCCAGCTATTGGCTTTCAGGTGGTACAGCTCATCAAACTTCATGCTGATGTCTTCGATGGACAACTGCAGGAGATCCCAAAACCCAGCTAGGTCCTGGGCTGTGGGTCTGGGATTGGCATTAGGGTTCTAGAAGGGAAAGCATAAAAAAAACCCCAAACCTTTCAGGAGGGATCCACCCTCGTGGCGAGCAGAGCAGCCTGCACAGTTCACACGTTCACCCCTTGGGAGTCGACCTCCCTGGCAACCGAAACATCACGAACCCCCAGGAGACACCGGCCCCAGGTACACATGGACACGATGCCACCGCGTACAGCCAAGGCCATTTCTGCAGAGATCAGGACGCAGATATCCCGACCGCATTTACACGCCTCTCTGTGGCAGAAAGCAGTGGGTCCCGTTCTCCCCAGAGCCCCCCAGCTTGCGCTGGCCCCACCGCAGTTCGCAAGGTCTCCAGCACGTGACTCGGAGCGGGAACTGCGGGGTCTCTTACACAGGGATCCCGATTTCAGGTGGGGAACAATGGAAACAACGGAGACAGCGCAACACGGAGCCTGGCTGCGACACCCGGAGAGCTCGCACGTCAGCCCACAGCGACCCAGAGCAGTCCGTGCAGCTTCCAGAGCCGAACGGGGTCTGCACGGCCAGGGCTTGGTGTGGGGGGACTACACGGGCGGCTTCTGGGAGAGCTGCTTGAAGCTTCTGGAGCGTGTTCAGAGAAGAGCCACAAGGATGGTGAGGGCTCTGGAGAACAAGCCTTGTGAGGAGCAGCTGAGGGAACTGGGGTTGTTTAGCCTGGAGAAGAGAAGGCTGAGGGGAGACCTCATCAGCACCTACAACTGCCTCAAGGGAAGTTGGAGAGAGGTGGGTGCTGGTCTCTTCTCCCCGGTGATGGGGGATAGAACAAGGGGAAATGGCACCAGGCTGTGCCAAGGGAGGATCAGGTTAGAGATAAGGAGGAAGTTCTTTACCAAGAGGGTTGTTAGAAGCTGGAACAGGCTGCCCAGGGAGGTGGTGGAGTCACCATCCCTGGATGTATTTAAAGAGCGGGTAGATGAGGTACTTAAGGACATGGTTTAGTGGGTAGACAGGAGCGGTTGGACGTGATGATCTCAGAGGGCTTTTCCAACCGAGCGATTCTGTGATTCCCCTGCGTCTGAGAGCCAGCGCCAGTGGCTCCATACCAGACCCACCAGTGGCCAAGGACGAGCCCGATGGTGATTACGTATTTAAGAAGGGGAAAAAACAACCCACAGCTGAAGAGATAAGTGAGAATATGTGAGAGAAACAACTCTGCAGACACCAAGGTCAGCGGAGGAGGAGGGGGAGGAGGAGCTCCAGGCACCAGAGCAGCCTGTGGTGAAGACCACGGGGGTGCAGCCGTCCCCCTGCAGCCCACGGAGGGCCCCACACTACAGCAGGGGGATGCCTGAAGGATGCTGGGACCCTGTGGGGAAGCTGTGCTGGAGCGAGCTCCTGGCAGGACCCGCGGGGCTGTGGAGAAAGGAGCCCACGCTGGAACAGTTTGTGAAGAGCTGCAGCCCCTGGGAAGGGCCCACGCTGGAGAAGCTCGTGGAGGACCCCACACAGGAGCAGGGACCTGCGAGGAGCCCTTGCCCCATGAAGAGCAGGAGCAGTGGGTGATGAAGTGACCACAACCCCCATTCGCCGTCCCCCCTGCGTCGCTGGAGAGAACTTGAGACTAAAGTTAAGTCTGGGAAGAAGGGATGGGTGGGGGGAAGGTGTTTTTAATATTTGCTTTTCTCTCTCATTGTCCTACTCTGGTTTAACCAGCAATAAATTAAACGAGTTTCCCCAGGCCGAGTCTGTTTTGCCCATGATGCTCATTAGTGAATGCTCTCTCCCTGTCCTCAGTCTGACCCACAGGAGCCTTTCATTACATTTTCTTTCCCCATCCAGCTGAGATGGGGGTGACAGAGCAGCTTTGGGAGGCATCCAGCCAGGGTCAACCCATCCCTTGAGCGAAAGAACTTTGCTGTATCCTCCCACAAACCAGTCTGAAAGTATCAGTATTTCTCAGGCTGGGTTTCAGCAGCCAAAGTTTCTCCCAAGAACAGAATTTTCCCAGTTCCCAGACACCTGAAGCGTCAGCACAGGCCTGGAATCCCGAGGGGAAAACCAAATGAGCTTCCCCCCCCATCCCCACGTTAGCCCTGTTCAGCTCCCAGCAACAGCAAACCCTTGTCATTACATGTGGAGAGGTCCAACCCCGTGCTGTGTGACCAAGGGACAACCCTGCTGGGATTCACCGTCAGCATTACCACCCACAGCACCTGCGCGCAGAGCAAGCGCGTCCGGAGAACAGCACACTGTCAAACACTCCCACCCTGTCTGGCGAACCCTCCGTGGTTCACCTCTAGGAGCCCTCTGGGGTAACAAGAAGTTGTTTCCAGGGCACACAGCAGGTTCACAGTCCAGACCCACAGGGACTCAGCACATCCAGCAGCTCATGAAGATTCCCCTGCGCTCACGTGAGCGCCAACAGGAATTGCCAGCGCTCGTCCCTGCACGGAGCACAGCCCGGGGCTGCTGTGCAGGAGGGGTTGAGGCGATCGCTGCACCACTGCTCTGCTGCTGGTTTAAATCAGCCCGTCCAGCACAGCACAGCACAGCGCAGGCTGCAGGCTACGGCTGCACTGCCTTTCCTTTCACAGCGACAGCAGCCTGGGAATGATCGATCACGTTCCCGTAGCGCTGTTGAAACAGACACAACCCCTCCCAAAGCCCAGGAGAAACACATCCACACTCACCAAGTTTTGTTCACAGAGGCCGTGGAATTGCTGGAACTTCTGCGACATCAGCAACTGGGCACTGCCCACTGCACTCAGGACTTTTCCTAAGACTGCGGGGGGAGAGAGAGACCTCAGTTAACAGACTGGCAAACAGAGCGAACTCGAGAGCTTCTGCAGCAAAGCAGCACAGAAAAGGGGTTTCAGAGACCCCCAAGTAACTGCTCCCAGGGGAAGAGAATGCATCCAGACTGTGATATACATCTGCCTTTGTCATGACTAAGAAGCTGTGATGGCTCCTTCTGGAGCAGGGCAGGGAACGTGACAGCAGAGTCTGCAGAAAGCTCCTTCAGCCGCCTCCAGCCTCGGGAGGTCGATCTGCTGGCAGAGCACATCCTGCTCCTCCACTCGCGCACGAGGTGAAGGAGGCAAGGGGCAGGAGAGCTCCAACCTCCGTTTACCAGAAGGGATTGCAGTACTGACAGGCCAGGGCTTCTGGCAGCCAGGATTTGATGCTGCCCTTACTGGGTTTTCCAGGAAGCCTCTGGGTATGGCAGCTTTCCTCTGCCCATCGACGGAAAAACACCGCGCGGACGTTTTCCATCCCAAAGGCAGCGTAGGGCTGAGACACCCACAGCACACACAACCGCACCACAACAGGGATGAACCAACTCCCCTGCTCTGCTGCTGCACCTGCTGAATCAGTTGTGGATGCTCAGACATCTCAAGCGTAAGCTGGGCTCTCTCTGCACCCACCGAGTTCTATTACAGCCCCCATCAGGAGGTCGCTCTCAGAGGTCACACACAATGCCAGGCTGCTCTTGGTCTTTCCCTGCCACAGGTGAAGCAGGGCAGCCTCTGAGGCAGGCAGAGCCCTGGCAGTGCCAGCGCAGCACCTTGGTGCCACAGGATTAGAGGTCAGCTCCCCCGAGCCCCAGCAGCGCCAGTGAGCGATAACCGAGTCTCGCCAATACTTCACCTTTCTCTGGCATCAAAAAACCCCAACCAAGACTCAAAACAAGGATCCTGCCCTCTGCAGCCTCGTTACCACCTCTGTCACCCTGCACGCCCCACTTCTGCTGCAAGAAGCATGAGTTTTGCCAACTCATTTGAAAAGAGGGGAACCAGCCCAACTGGGGCTGGACCAAATAAAATCCAGAGGCCTCGTGTTCCCTGTGGATGTGCTTTTGGTTTGTTTAGCACAAATTCAGGGAAGCTTCCCCATATGAAGAAAGTGAAGACAGGTCCAGCGATTCAACAGGTCAGACAAGTCACGCTCAGCCTGCCCCACTGCCAGCTGAACTGCTCGCTTGAGCACGATGCGGGTGGGCAGACCCCACAGCCTCTCTGCAGGCCGCCCACTTAAGCTTTTAGCACTTCTGAACGGTCAGAAGCTGCACCACCCCCTGAGTGTCTTCTCTGCTGCATCACAGGATTATTTCTTACCCCATCTGCTAGGGGAAGTTCCTTTCTCCTTCCCAAAGAGAACTACACAGTCCTTGTCCTGTACTCATCTCCAGGCACTGTCTCTCTGAGGGCCACCAGAAATTTAACTGCAGAAAGGTGATCGGCTGTGACTCAGTTGTGACCCTCGAGGGAGGCGCTGCGAGGAGCTCCAGTCTCGTGTCCAGAGGCCGACACCACCTACCTTCTTCAGAGAGACTGTTCTCTTTGGTCTCCTGGTCCATCTGGCGGCACCAGCCTTCCAACCGCTCTGTCTCTGCCTGCAGCAGCTTCAGGAACCAGTACCCGTCCCGCCGGCAGGCTCCTGGCTGCATGGGTTCTGATGGCGAGGTGGAGGACGTCTCGAGCCAGGGGTCAGGAGGAGGGAGAGACGAAGGCTCCAGGGCTGGGTCGTTGTTTTCTCCATAGGAGAGGTTTCTCTTGATCTGCGAGGGCTTGGCTGGTTGCCTGGTCGCGGCATCAACACCAACAGAGTTGTGCTGGGGGCACTCAGCGAGGCTTCTCTCAGATGCTTTACAGCTAGAGTTATTGGGTTCCTGCGTGTCAGAGTCTGTGTCCTGTTTGGAGGACATGCTGCGAGAGTGGCTGTTTCTAGGGAGATCAAAAGCAACAGTGAAACAGCAGAATCCATCCTGCCTGGCCTCACGCAGCGAAGTGCATTTGGTCACTAGGCCTGCAGCTGAGCCTCGCTGCGCCCGCCCTTCCCCTCCTCACACACAGACACCACACACTCAGACAGACAGAATTATAAGGTTGCCTGCTTACTGCAATAGGCCGTTCAGACGAGAGCACTGACGCACATCTGTAATTACATCTTGGGCTTTTATTATTGTTTGTTTTAAATTTCAAACTCCCATCAATTTGGCTGCTTACAGAACAAGAGGGTTTTTTGCAGTGGGTGTGTGCTGTGGAGGAGGAACTCTCTGTGGGGCCCCCATCCAACACCACTCAGAGAGGAACAAAGGGGAGAAAGTCTAAGCAGAACCGGGGGAAGCACAATTTAAAAGAAAGGAAACTACAAAAGCTTGCGTCTTTCACTTACCGCCACTCGTCCTCTACCTGTACCCCGATGGACTGGAATTTGGTGGCTGGCGGAGGAGGCTCCTCTTTTGCCACTGGCTGAAGGCAGTCAACCTTATCGAACAAAAAAAAAAAAACAGACAAGAACAGACACAAGAACTTGCTGCTGGAATTCACATTAGTAGACCAGGAGAGCCGCACACACACACAGCACGCTGACACCACACGCCAGCTCCAGGGCTGGCTCAGGACAGGGGCACGGCTGCTGCTCCGATCTCGCCTCCACCGAGCATCCAGGCTGCATCCTGCCAGGAATCTGCTCTGGGAGCGCTCGGCTGTGCCACCCACTGCTGTCCGCAGAGGGGCTGTGACCCCGGGGGAGCTGCTGCACATGTGGCACCTGACGTGGGCGAAGGCCCAGTGATCCACGAGAGGGCAGTGACCTGATTACAACTGACAGCACAGCCCAGCTTCCTCTCTCCCAGGGATCGACACCGTCCACAGCACTGGGTAAGAGGGTTAGGAGCTTTTAGGAAGAAAACCCAGGCTGTGGGGCAGGTGGCTTGGGAACCAGCTCAGAGAAGGGAAGAGGGGAAGGCACAGTCACAGCCTCTCCAGTGCGAGCTCTCTTGCCTCGCTGCCCTTCCAGCTTGTGCACTGCCCTGCAGAAAAGCCTGCCCTGTCACATATACTTCACAGGCCAGCTCGCCTTACGGTTACACCAACGCAGAATTCGCTCAGCACAGACCTGTGTGGTGGCTTGAAGCCCAGGCCCTGCACTGGGAGCTGCCCAAGTGCCCACCTGCAGGCAGCAGCAGCGCTGAACCAGCACCTGGGCACAGAACGAGCGCTCACAGCCATCAGACACCTGCAAGTGGGAAGCGCGTCCACGAGAGGAACACGCAACTGCGGGTGACTGAAGCTTCGTGGAATAACGCGTGGATTTACACTACCAAACGGGCTCTCATTTGACTCTAGCTCTCAGCTCATTTCCACTGATTTCCAGAACTAAACGCTTCCAGCAAGAGAAGCAGCAGCCTTCTGGGAACGGTGGGCAGCAAGGAACCGCTCCCTCCTGCCCGCAACCCTGGGACCATCTCACACTGCAGCAGCCCACGCTACGTGGTTGTCAAGCAGCAGGAAGCCCCCTCTCCAAAGAAAGTCCTCTCTAGAGCTGACGGAGAAGGAGCAGACCGATTTCAGCTTACACAGCGCAGAGCACAGGCTCGCAGCAGGAGAAGGCCGCTTCAGAGGGACTCGCTCAGTTAACACGGTCCCACTGCTTTATGAAACATTTTAATCTTGTGCTAGAAGAACCCAGTCCTTCCTGCTCCGCTAGGGAAAGCTCCTGCTGTACATCACGCTTGGGAGCACAGGAAGGAAGTCAGACAAGGCAGGTGGGTGGTTTCTCCTGCTATTCTAAGTGAGTTCAGATGCACACCTGGTCACACAAAATACACAGGCTAAATGGATGAGTTAGGACATTCCTTAGGACAAGGGAGAACAAACTATTCCATACTTGTATTCCTATAGACGACAGCTTTCTCTTGGGGATATTCTCCACTTTAGGCTCTTCGCTAGTCAGAGTCCCTTTGTCACTTTTCAGAGTTGCATTTTTCTGGGGTAACTCTGCGGTCTCTCTCGCCGGGGTCACGACGCTGCCCCTTGTCACGCTGGGTGTCCTGGTGCTGTCCAAGCTGTCCGAGGAATTGCTGAGTCCTGACTGGCTGGTGACCTCGCTCTTGTGGTCCTGGCTGTCCAGGTAGGTGTCCTGCGCCGACTCGGTGCTGCTCTGCACAGTGACAGAGATGAACGGCTTTGATGTGGTCCGAGGTGGGACAGGAGGTGGAGTCTTTTTATATGCCACTAGGCATGATGAACCTGCAGTAACGGAGGTGGGAAGAACGGAGAATGCAAGAGACAGATTGGGGAGAGAGAGGTACAGTAAAAGAGAGAGAAAAAGCAGGTCAGTCACAACATCCCAGAGGAGCCTCCAAGTAGAAGCTCGAGGCAGAAACGCTGAAACAGCCTACAGCCAGCAGCTCGCACTGAGTGACCCCAACCAAAGCATCAGGAAAGCGGAAGGCAGAGCCAGAGCTAGCTTGCAAAAGAAGTCAAGAGGGACATCATGACACGGGAAAGGCTGGAGATGGACAAGAGGTACAGAAAAGCCTCCCGAGAACACGACGAGGTTTGGCAGGTGTGAGCCTCCACGCCGGGGAAGTTTCCTTTGGCTAAACCCTACGTTTTAGCGTCCTAGCACAGCCAAGTGTCTCAGCTCTTTGTCCCATCGGTTGACAGGTTTCAGTGTCTGGACCGAGGTGCTGGTTTTTTTCCTATAAGAACGGAAAGAAGCCATAGAGAGATGCTGATGGTAGGAACGAACTTCTGTGAAGTACCTTAAAAACAGAGCTGCTATGCAGTAGAGCAAAATACATCACTGGATACCAGGAGGGGGGGTGGTTGTAGGGCAGAGAGGTTCTCCTCCCCTTCTACTCTGCCCTGCTGAGACCGCATCTGGAATATTGTGTCCAGTTTTAGGCCCCTCAGTTCAAGAAGGACAGGGAACTGCTGGAGAGAGTCCAGTGTAGGGCTACAAAGATGATTAAGGGAGTGGAGCATCTCCCTTATGAGGAGCGGCTGAGGGAGCTGGGTCTCTTTAGTTTGCAGAAGAGGAGACTGAGGGGAGACCTCATTCATGTTTATAAATATTTAAAGGGTGAGTGTCACGAGGATGGAGCCAGGCTCTTCTCGGTGACAAACAATGATAAGACAAGGGGTAACGGACACAAACTGGAACACAGGAGGTTCCACTTCAATTTGAGCAGAAACTTCTTCTCAGTGACGGTGACAGAGCACTGGAACAGGCTGCCCAGAGAGGTTGTGGAGTCTCCTTCTCTGGAGACATTCAAAACCCGCCTGGATGCCTTCCTGTGTAACCTCATCTGGTGTTCCTGCTCCGGCAGGGGGATTGGACTGGATGATCTTTTGAGGTCCCTTCCAATCCCTAACGTTCTGTGTTCTGTGATACAACAGCCCAAGAGCGGCGAGGCTGCTGCTCCACGTCTCCAGGTTCCAGTGAGGGGGAAAATGCGTTCCTGGCAGGCACAGGGAGCCCCCACATTCACTGCACGTACAGATCCTACGTGTGGCTGGCCACACAAGTCATGGAAGAGCACCCACATGAACATGGACACCAGTGGCCTCCTCTGGCTCCCACCTCTGGCCTGACAGGATGCGAGTCCATCAGTGCGAGTGTGGATCCTGCAGGCGCTGTGCTCAGGCACTCGGTCTGCCCAGCTCCTGTGAGCCACAGCAGCCCCTGAGGCTGAGGTCCTGACCTACACACAACTGACCCCATCTATCCCCTACTCCTGTATTTCCCCACTCTTGTTCCTCCCCAGGCCACCAAAATCCCTTTTTCTTGTCTCACCTTCGGTTCCTTCACTAAATATCGCATTAAGTCCCATGCAATCCCAAACTGAATTCCCCCTGCACCCCATAATGCGTGACCAGCCCCGGGCAGCAACCTCCTCAGTCCAAAAGGTGACCTGGGGAGCAATGGTGTCACGCATGGACTGAGGCTGCTGGGACAACCCCAGGAGAGGCCCGGACAGGGGGATGGCTGCTTCCCAACACCACCTTCCACCCCGAACTGCACTGCCTGCACCCCGTGGGGAGCTCATGGCCCTTGGCAGACGTTGTGATCTATGGGATACAACCGATTCTGGCTCAGCCCACCTCAGGGTGCCCTCTGTCCCCTGCGTAATTTCAGCACAATTAACCGCCAAGTATCAAACGAACCTGATCCGACCCATGCTGGGTGCAGGAAGGGGTGTTTCAGGTGACACGAGCCTCCCAGGAGCTCCTTTTCCTCCCCAGACAGCTCCCTCTGCCCACAGCAGAGGTTGAACAGGCTTGCAGGGCACCCACGAGGGGTGTCCCAGCTCCCCCAGTCTCCAGTGGGGTCAAAGCCAGGCCCAAGCACCCCGGGGAGCTTGGCCATAATCCCTGCAGGCAATCACAGCTACGCCACGTGCCCTACGGACGGCACTGACACATGCCTGTGTTTACACGTGCCAGTATTAACTACTTTAACGGCTACAGATCCACTTCAGAAGGGAACCAGAAGGGAGAGGTTGCAGAGGAAGAGGAGATCTGTTTCCAAAAGCACTCGTATACCCAAAGATGACGGGAAGCACTGTAACGGTGCCTCTGCTACAGGAGAGCCTACGCTGGGGATGCAACCAAGGGGCCTCCAGCGTGAATCCCAACAGGAGCTTGGAAAGGCACAAAACCCCTACCAGCGCCCCCAGTACACCAAGTCCAGCACAAAGGAGCAAGAGGGAACCACGGAGCCGAACAATAACCAGGACAGGCTGCTGTGTCTGGGGACCAGGTTGTTTTCCAGCCTGACCAGTTCCCAGCGCTGGCACGTGCCACGTAAACCACTTAGGGCAGCCTGAGCCCACAGCGGCTGCGTCTCCAGTCGGGACATGAACTCTAAAAACCACCTACAATAATCTCCTGAAAGGTCAGATGCCAGTGCTTCACCTTGTCAAAGGTACACGGTAAGACAGCGCTCCACACACCGCTCAGCCCATGCGTATGTGCATGCAGCCACACTGCAAGGTCATCGCTGACAGAGGACAACGGGCACTGGCGTTCACTTCCCACGCGCTGGGGACAGCAGCAGGACCTGCTGCAGATGCTCCAGCAGCACCAGCTCGGGAGGGTTTAGCATCTCCAAGCAAGTCAGGCCCGCCCCCGAGATGCCCCTTTCAGAGGTACCACATCTGTGGCACCACTCGTGTGAGCACAGCTGGAACTGTGCCCCAGAGCTGGCTGGTCACACAGAGTCACAGCACATCAGGAGCTGGAAGGGACCTGGAAAGCTCCCCCAGTGCAACCCCTCCAGAGCAGGATCACCAGAGCAGTCACACAGGAACACAGCCAGGGCTTTGGGTGTCTCCAGAGAAGGAGGCTGCACAAGAGAAGGAAGCTCTGAGCACCCACGGGTGAGGAGTGCCCGCACCATCCCTCTGCCAAGGGCTCTCTGACCAGAGGGCACCATCTCAAACAGCTGCAGCGACTTCCAGGCCAAGTCTTTGTGCTCTGAACAGAGCAGTGCAGGAGCAGCTCGAAGAACTGCACAAGTACCCCCGACAAGCTGCAGCTGTGAGAACACAGGACGCTCATGCTGCCTCGCATTACCGTACCGGGGCTACAGCCACTGTTATGTGGGACAAGCAAGAGCCGCCCAAACTGGTGATGGACAAAGCTGGCCCGTTACACCCCTCCAAATAAATCCCTTGTACCGCCCTTCCCATGGCCTCTGCTCGTCCCCAGCTCCAGCACCAGGTCCCCTGCCACCCAGCCTCTGTGACAGCGTCCTGCTCGGAGCTGAAGCCAGGGGAGGGTGCCCTGGTTTGGCTGCACGTTGCCCAGCAGCACAGCTCAGGTTTCCCAGCTGCTGTTTACACCCACGGGGCTGTAATGTAATTGGGGAGAGTGAATCAATTACTATCTGATATCGAACAGCGCAGCCAGGCAGAACAAGAGAAGGGCACAGAAATGCAGTAGTTTCCTGGGGAAGATCAGCAGTGTTTGGGTAATAAACCGGATCCAAATTCACCCTTCAGACAGCACCAAGACACAGCACAAATACTGTACAGAGGGGGAAACTGCAGCACCTCCTTGTCGTGGCCCCTTCACGCCATCCAGCTCGGCTGAAGAGCACCCCAGACTTTGCTACAAAGGAACCACACAGCACTAAATACACCTCTGTTAATGCACGCGTGGTCAAATGGCTGTGTGGGCTATTAAAGCAGGTTTATGGCTCGAAGAGACACTGCAAATGAAACTGAAAGATCAGGAGCCCGATGGTTGTGATGGGGAAGTTTTGATGAGCGCAACTGCAAATGACCCCCGCTGAGGCCCTCTGCAGCCATAAACCCAGACACCACCCCTCACCTGAAACTGGTTTTGAAATCAAAAGTCAGAGCAGGCCCATCCAGAACAGTCTGCTCTTCGCCCTCAGCACAACTCTGAGCTAAGTTCCAGTGTTTCTTACATCTGTGGGAAGAGACAAGACATTGAGGGAGCCGAGAGTGCACCCGCATGGCCCAGGTCAACCCCACCAGGTAGGGGTGCTCCAGTTGCTGACTTACCCCCACAAAGGGCTACAGCTGAACAGGCTATGAACCCACCTTGGAGTTGCTGCAGGTCATAGCCTATTGCATTTTAAAATCAGCTTGTGCTGTAAGGTGCAACCACAGCCCCCCCGGACACTGGGGCAGGTACACAGCTTATTCTGCAGCACCATCATCTCAGTCTGCTGGTGAACATCAGCCAGGCTCCAAAATGGCACAGGCCAAGAAAATGTGGGAGTTTCGCTTAACCTTCCAGCTTGGCAGTGCCAAACTCTGTTTGCTCATAGGATCTTCTAAGGCCCATTTAAGCAAGCTGTTGGAATTCATCGTGTGGATGGCTGATTTCTGAGGGCAGGGCTGGCTGTTTGCAGCCTTCCTTGCAGCATTGTTTTCAGAAAGCAGCACGTTTCCAAATCAGCATCTTCCACACGAGGTTCCCTGCTGCTCTGAGGGGCCTGGGCAGTGCCCCTGGACGCAGTCGCAGGCAGAAGAGGTGAGTTCAGGGCCGAGACTCCTCCAGACCACGCGGGCACACTGCGATCCCCTCCTTCCAGAGATGCAGGCGTTTGCTTCTCGAAAGACAAACGCAGGAGTCATGAAACAACATTAAATCCAGCACTGCCTTAAGAGGGCCCTGCTCAAACACCACCAGGCTGTGCTTACCCGCTCCGTACCTGGCAGCACTGCCAAGATCATAGCCGAGGTATTTGGGTAAGAGTTTAAATACCA